CCTTTACTTTTGGAAATAATCAGCAAAGTTTTACTTTGAAAAATAGCCATAAGATATTGGATGATAGCTGCTTCATTTGACAGGATGGCTGATGTTAATGGATGTAATACCTAGACCACCAACCATATGCAGAAATGAAGATGATGACCAGTAGTTCAAAACCCTGCTAAAAGGGCTTGGTGACTTGTGCTTTTTTGGGATACTGATTATCTTTTTCAGGTGAGTGTCACTTACCTGATAAAGCATAGTGGTGGGAGTTCTGAAATGCCTAGCATCAAATCTCACTAGATCCTCTTCAGTATGCTAAAAATATACTTTGTTGACATGCAGTAATGAAGTTGTTTCCTCCAATTGTAAATTGATATAAACTGTAGTAACATTATGAATATTAATCGTGACTTATGAGAATTTTAGCAGAAAAGTCTTAGTTTAGCTGAAGTTTGTTGGTTATACTTTATTTTGTGATGCCTTTAAAGAAGAACCTGTTGAATTTGATGGCTCATACATTGGAGTATATTGTGGGGGGATGTAATGCAGATTTGTAGTTTTGGAAAGTAGCCCAAAAATGTTTTAGTGCAAGATTAGATCCATCAAAAGGCAGGCTACAAGTGTACTGCTGGAGGCAGAAAGTAACATCTGTGTGGTGAAAGTATGTAAGTCACATATAACTACAATTAAACTTGTATCTAAAAGAAAGTTGTAAGGGAAGTTGGTGTGATCATAAGTGGATTCCTACTGACAGAAATATGGGTTGGCATCTACCAACCCTATTCAGCTAATGTTTGTAATGTAATGTGTGTTTTGCAGTCTCAATCCCATTCCTTTTCTACTAGATCTAGGCTCTGTTGAAGTATCAACCAGGCAGTAGTGAAGGGAATGTGTTGAAATCAAAGGATAAACAGTGTTGACCATTTTTATCATTATGGCAACAGAGGGCAGCACAAGTTTTAGTGATACATCATCCATGAATAATATAGGGTTTGAGAATATGTGAAGCCTGTAGAAATGTTTGAGGAAGGTAATCATTTAACACTATATAAAGGTACTTTTAGAGAAGTCATAACCCTCTTGGCAACCTACACATCTGGCTTATCTTGTGATCAGCCAGAATTTATTTTTCAATCTGGACTTTTTGCTATTTAAGATCAAATTCTTGACCATTCTTGTTATCATGTTCTCTAATTAGAAAGTGTTGTTTATCTTGTTTCAACAAGGCTGACCAAATGTTTTCATTACTGCACAGTGGTAAGTGGATACAAAGAGAATCAACATGCTCAGGACTTACTTCTTTGCTGAAATTTGGCTTATGTGGCTGACCTGCAAACTCCTGGTGCTGATATGTGTTCAACATTGTACTACCCATAGATTAAGATATATTACTAGCTGATGCATTTAATGTGTGGGACCTCACTGTGGCAGTTGTCAGACTAGCCCTAAGGTCTCCCATGGCTGAGCAGCCTCTTCAGACCACAAACTAGGAAGTTGATACAAATCCACCTTTGATGTATTAGCCAGCAGACCAGTGGCAGAACCAAGCCTGCAGGCAGTCCAAAAGATGAGAATGAGTTAAATGACAACCTCATATCCAGATAAGGGTATAATGCAATCTTCATAACACTGGTTGCTTTCCATTAAGTGTTCCTTTTGGTGGTGTTAACCACTTTGAACAAACACTATGATAGCCATCAGATGTGTGATCTCTCTGGCAGAACCATTACATTGCAAAGTAATGAAAAATTTTCCCAGAACTGAAGACTTCTTTAGGTTCAACTGGGCTACAGGGCAGCATTTCTGAGCCAATAGAAAATGAACTAATATATATCCTTGGAGACTACTAGTGACCACCATTGACATGATGATGACCAGTAATTGGCCATGTACCACCACCAGACTCAGCATCAACATCATCAGTGCCCTGAAAAATCAAGATAAATGAGGCCCATGAGTTGCCATAATGGCACCTGAGGACCAAATTTCCAACCAAAACCATGCAACTAACCTTACAGCTTTCCCCACCACTAAAGTGGCATATCCAGGAGATGGTCATGAAGTGGACCGAGACCTGAGCCAATTATAACTGATAGGAGGACTGGTTGTACCAAAGGAACATTTTGACCTCCCAACTAAAGGAAGAAAATGACCAGCTATACAAAGAGAGAGAAAGCCTTGGACCAGGTCCAAGACATCCTTTGCACCACCACTAGATCCAGTCAAGAGTCAACTGCTACTTTTGGGATGGTCTGCTAACAGGGTTCAGCTGAAAGCAGTGGACCACTAGCTTGCCATTGGGTATATTTTTTGTGATGATGTAAGTATTATGTAAATTGTAAGTATTATGGAAATGTTGTCAATTAATGCTATTTCTGCATTTCTTTTATTTGGGGGGGATGTTTATTTAGGAATGATTCATTGTGCATTTTCAATGTTCTCTACTTTGGTTTTGTATAGTATAGTATTATGTTTTGCATTTTTTTTTATCTTCTGTAAAGGGTTTATGTCATTTATGTGTGCATACTATATTGTAAGTATTGAGAAATGTTTTCTAAAATAAAATAATTTTTACAATTTCATCAGCTGAGAAAATATATGGGTAAATACTTTGTAGTATTTGGCAAACTGTGATACAGTTAAATATACAAAAAATCCCTGATTGTTATTGTTTTCAATTATAAAAGCTCATTTTACTTTTCTTGAATACCCTCCTTCGAAATCACAGTTTAAGGATTTACACGAAAATCATTATGTTTCACATTCTTTGACATGTAAAAAAAACATTAGTGATCAAACATAGTGAGCAACAGTTCTTGATTGTAATTTGCCCCCCCCCCCTCCAATTTCAACTGAGAAGGTGTTTATTCAAGTTCCATATGAGCATTATTATTCAGTATGACCCTTACTAATGAGCATAAGATCTTCTTTGGTCAAAGCCAAAATAAGACTTGACAATCACTTCAATTAGGCCCCCAGTGTCACAGTGGTATGTCTGTGGACTTACAAGCTAGAAACTGAGTTTTGATACCTGTAGTGGGTAAAGGACAGATATCCCATTGTGTAACTTTGTGCTTAGCTTCAAAACAAATAAACAGTTCAGTCAGACTTATCATACTATCAATGCTCTAACAAGTATTTATATTGAGTTTAAAGTTACAAAATGATTGTAGAGGGTTATTTGGATGCCACTTTGAGCATGTGGTATACAGGTTCACTGCTGTCCAATAGAGTAGACACTTAAACATTCAACACGGACAGCAAAGGACAACAAATTAACACAAGTGAGAGAAGAAAGAAAATATTTATTTTTAATACTGTCTTTAATGTAACAGATTTTTGACTGGTATCTAATTCTGTGTGATTAGCTCTTTGGGATGAAGGCAGGAGAGAGACAAAATCTACAGAAATAAGAAAAAGAAAGAGCCAAAATCAAGAGAAACAAGAGACATAACTGTGGAAATGTTCCACTTTTATACTAAGGCAAAAACCTTAGTAGTGTATCTCACGATTCTGCAACCAATGGTTTAGGTATTCTAGAATTTTAAGTTATTCCAAGCTAGGTGTAAATGTTTCTGCAGTGCATGTTTGAATTGTTTGCATTACTATAAGTCCACACAGTGTTTTCCAAACTATGAGATGAAGAATTTATCCTCTTGGACATGAGAAGTTAAATGAAAAATAAAAAGATTACATTACTATATTCTCACATGCATATGTTTGAACTAGTGGTACACTACAACTTTTAATATTTAGAGAGAGTGACATATTGGAATGTGTATTTGTGTGGTACATCAAGTACAACAGACAAGAACTGTCTAAAAAAATTGAACCACTGATTCAGAAAACCATGAAAATAAGCCAGTAGTTGAAGATTAAAACTAACTATACCTTTAATACATAAAAAATACCCAAATGTAGACATACACATTTTCTTTCCCTTTTTATTTGTAAATACTCTTCCAGGAACATAAACCCTAAAATAAGAAAATCTGCCTCCATGTAACTGGATAAGAAAAAACAAAAACTAAAGTGTTCAAAAATTAATGTATAAAGAATACATTAAGATGGGAGCAAATAGGTAAAGAGTTTAGTATCAGTAAGCTATTATTTATCAGTGACATGCTTCAATGTTTTGTATCAGTCACACATCACCAGCATGTATGTGTCACAACAGCAGTAAACTAGGTGTTTTTTATAGTTGCATTAATTACACATTAATTGTCATTGTTTTGGATTAGGTATCTACATTTCATAATTTAGTGTTATATATTAGTTACACAACACTTTTAAATGTTTGTGTTAGTGACTTAGTACCAGTATGTTTTAGCATACAAATGAAACAACATTACTACTTTGAAGAGTTTTGTAAGGGTACTAACCAATAACACAGTTATGTTGCAATGTTTTATATGTCACACTCTTTTCATTTTTAAGTATTTGGTCCCAATAACAAATTATTGATGTTTTGGTGTTTTTACATCAGTCATGCTTTTATGTTTTCAATGTGTGGCAGTAACAACAACATGCTTGCATGTTTTGATGTAAGTTTTTTCAGTTAAGTTTTTTTGTTTCATTATTTTGCCACAGTATACAAAACACTGTTTTGTTTCAGTATTTGATACCAGCAACACGTTTTTATATTAAGTGTTTGGTCTTGACAACAAAATATTGGCATGTTTTGGTGTGTTTTTCAGATAATGTTTTTGTGTCTCAGTATACAAAGCACTGTCATGTTTCATATTAGCAATGACAAAGATGTTACACTGGTATGTTCCAACATCTTGTTTAGATGACTCAACACTGGTTGGATTGGAATTTTGCATCAATGATAATAATTGTTTTCCAACACTTTCTTTCAATTACACATAGTTTAATTAATAATGCTCTAGTATTTTATTTAAAGATTTATCAGTATTTGTTTCATAAACTTAGAAAAACTCTCAAGATTTTGTAACTCTCTTATAATGGTTATAAAAAAGAATTTCACTGTACAGTGGTGATTGGCAAAGATTAAACTGTAATGAATTACTATTACCCAAAAGCTGATATATGTCCATGCTGAAATTATTTAGTTAAATGCTTGTAAGAAAACGTGTTTTTCTATGTCAAGGTGTAGGTATTGAGCCACAAATAAGGAAACAATTTTGTTTAAGTTATTTATAACAGTGTAGTCAAGATGATTTCCATCATCAGTCTCCTTGTGCCAAGTCTCTGGAAATGGATTAGTGACAAGATGTAGGACTGGTACACCTGTGGAAGAAAAGAAACAACTCTAATTTTGCCTTATAAAGTTCATAGATACAAGAAGAAATTTAGGGCTTGTAAGATTAGTCACTTTATTGCTTTTGAATTATTTTAAAGTATATGTATATATCACATAAAAAAAAACACTTCATAAAAATGTTTTTTTATCACTTTTATATTTTTTAGCATGTACATAGTTTCTTCTCAGTCAATTAACATAATAACACTATTAAATTTTCACTTTCAAAATGGGGAAGAATGGGATATTTGTGTGTTCTTGTTGTTATTTGTCATGTATGTCGAGGAATTCAAATATTTTTTTCTATTACAAAATTTGTACAATTGACACAGAAAGAAGAAATACTGAAAATAACTTAAAAATCAAAGAAAAGTGCTACAATGAATTAAGATAAATACTGAACGAATGAAATGCTTGAAACGTTAAAGACACTGTATGTATTTACAAAACAAAACAAAATTAAGTAATCTAGGTACATTATGTTACTGGTGTTTCGTTCTTGTGTTTTAATATTGTTACGCCTCCGTTCGTTAGTTAATTTTCCGTATAATTTCTTTTCGAAGAAACTTTGGCGATGCAAGTCCTTTCTTAAATAAAATTGGTTTATTCTTTCTGAATACAATTTTGCAATACACTTAATTTCCACAGTCGCACTATAACAAACGCTATAATTCACAACGAACGTTTCACGTGCTCGACTCAACAATACGTCTCTCTGTCCGCAGTTCAATTACACATTACATTGTTGCCGTCAGTTCTTACCGGCTTATATATACAAGACTACCGCATATCTAGTAGGCTCTCGAGATTTTAGGAAGGGACGTGAACGCTCGAGAAGTGCATGACGTGTTACTAAGGTCACGTGACCTCCGCTGTCGTAATAATAAGTTAAACATCATTACTAATGTTAACTTCACATGTTAATTAGGAGTCAGCCTTTAACATCAGAAATAATTCATTTAATCCACATAAATTCACATGCATGGTTTGATTCAATTTCACATAAAAAAAATATCTGATATTTTATTGTCAACAGACCTGGCACTTTTATCAGATTTGGCTTATTTTCCAGAACTAACAATCTTCTAAGATCAAAGCTTTTCCAGACTGGGTCTGATATATTCAATTCCCTACCTAAACAAATGTATGTGATACAGGGTGGGGCCATACATTTCCACCCCCTTGAGTCCAATTTGAAAGCAGAGAGTTACTCAAGTAAGTAAATAAGTAAGTGATAGTAAATCATGTAGTGGCCTGGTGCTTCTTCTCTCCTGTGTTCGAGCTAGAGTGAACTAATTTCACGTGGATGTGCCAACCATGAGTAGCCTGACTTTCTTTGTATCATTGTATTTAATATCCCCTGTTGAGCAGATTTAAGCTTCGTCGTTGTTCTTATTTCATGTTTGCCAAAAAATTTGAGATTTTAGCACATCATTTCAGATACAGAGATTTTTTTTGAGACTCAAAGACTTTGAGCAGCTGTTTTATATTCAGATTTAGATTGAATTTTGCTTAATGTTTAGCTAACTTGTTTTATATTTAAACATTGGGGATTTTTTTTTTAAATTCTAGGTTTCCATAATTTTTCGTGTAGCTTGAGGGGGATCAGTGGTCAGTCTGAAGGCTTATAACTCTAACAACCGGGTTTTGATACCCATAGTGGGCACAGCAAAGATATAACTTTTTGTAGCTTTGTGCGACCCTTAGATACCTATAATAGGCTAATAATGAAGATGGTTGACTAAACACAAAACAATTTATTTACAAGGTTCGAACGTTTCAGAATACACTCATTTCATCTTCAGCGAAGTCTGGAAATCGTGTTACAAAGATATTTATTAATTAAAACTATAATATCAGAATCACTAGTTTACTTAGTTAACAAGAAAAGTGGTAAATGGAAGGATAAAACAAAGATTATAGATATAGTGCAAAACAGGTTAGTTTTAAGTGTATAAATTTAGAATAATTTTAGATCTAAAGAACTTTGTTAGTCTTTAAGAGTAGGGCGGTCTTTAGCTAAGAGTAAACTTGCTTTAATGTAGAGTTCAAGGTCTGAAGATCTTGTAGTAATGACAGAGAAATCATTAAATGAAATATTGTGACCCGTGGTTTCAGTATGTGATGAGTGGCTGAGGTTAAGTAGTGGACGGTTGTGTTAGATACTCCTAAATGTTTACAGACTAGTTTTCAAGTGGGGTTTTGTTTCGCCAGTGTACGTGACCTTAATGCGGAGGCTAAGTCTATATTGGTCTGAGCTGAATTTGAGGGTAGAAGTTTTTTTTTTTATTAAAGAGGAAAGGGCCCGGCATGGCCAGGTGGTTAGGGCACTCAACTCGCAATCTGTGGGTCTCGAGTTCGAATCCCCGTCCCACCAAACATAATCGCCCTTTCAGCCGTGGGGGCGTTATAATGTGATGGTCAATCTCACTATTCGTTGGTAAAAAGAGTAGCCCAAGAGTTGGCGGTGGGTGGTGATGGCTAGCTGCCTTTCCTCTAGTCTTACACTGCAAAATTAGGGACTGCTAGCGCAGATAGCCCTCGTGTAGCTTTGCGTGAAATTCAAAAACAAAAAATAAAGAGGAGAGTTGTTTTTTAATTTGTAAGGATTATGAACCCATAAAAGGAAGAGAGATAACGAGGAGAAATTTGGGAATGGTGTGCATATTGGCTGGTGGTTGGAATTTGTTGTTTAGAAAACTGCGTCTAATCTGCATTAGAAAATCAATCGGACAGCCATTATTTAATCAACATGTGTTCGTGTAGAAAGGTAATTTGTTTGTGTAAAATAGAATAAATCGAATACAGATTAAAAATTATGTTTAACAATGACATGACTAGATTACGCTTGAAGAAGTTGGGGATAAAAATATTCAACTTGAAGTAAAAGCCAGTTAAAGTCCTTTTATGATAAACAGAGGTAGAAAAGTATTTACCTTCTTTGGTAATCTTGATGTTTAGGCTGTGAAGCAATCTCCGATTATGTGACTTCTTTGTTCCATAATATATATTGTTACGTATCTGCTCGTTGTTAATTTCCGGTATAAATTGTTTCAGAGGAACTTCGGCGATACAAGTCC